AATTTAGAATTGTCTGAATATGAGTTTTCGATCTCGGAGTCACTGTGGCCTGCCATGCTTGCAGAGACAGTTGAAGAAAGAAAGAGAAAGATCAACTGCAAAATTTTGCAAGTTTAGAGCACACCCCCTTCTTATATGAAGCAATGGCGACGATTTGCATGGCAACGTCAACTTCCCTAGGCGCATGTTTCCTGTCGATTCGCCTCGCCGTGTACCCAACACATCCATTCAATGGCGACCATTCACTTGGTAGCATTGAGTTCCCAAGGCGCGTATTTCACGTCGCTTGGCTTGGCAACATACCCAAAGCGTTCAAAAACATTGGAAACATAACTGCCACAATGGTCATCAATTAGGAGTGCGATTCACACGTAAGAACATGTCATACCCAACTACGATGTTGTGGGCTACGCTGTAGAGATCGCGTCCAACGTCCAAGATCAAGTGGCACAGCACACTGCGTGGCCGGACAATACTCTTTAAATAACCGAGAAACAAGTTCGTCACAATAACTCCTCAATTAATCAAATTAAATTTCACAAAAAAACTCCTCAATCAACGTATGTCATGCCGCTGCGCCTCTCCAGCCCTCTGGCTCGTCGTACCTCCATCCACGCCGACAATCATGGCGGCGAGGCGGCACCCCACGTCACTGACGGTGCTCCCTGTCGAGGTGCAAATTGAGATCGCCGGCCACCTCACTGCAACCTCAGAGCGGCCCATGGATGACCTCCGTAGCCTACGGGCGACGTGCTCGTCCATGCGAGACATATGTGGTGATCGTGCCGTCGGTCAGCGCGTGGCAGTGGGTCGGTGCAGACGCGGGGCGAGGTCATCGAATGACCTCGTCAACTACTTCACCCTCCTTGCTAGACTAACCCAAGTTGACACCCCGGAGGCTTGCTTACTCACCGGGATACAAACCGTATTTGTAGAAAACCACAGCCCCGGCCATGCCTCGACTATCTCACCCTCGCCACCGATGGCGGGCACAATGTGGTGGTCTATCTGGTCGCCATATTCCTCTATAGGCACAATGGTGATGCCGGAGACGACAACACCACGAGGCGGTACATAAGACGGGTCAAGGGCGAGGAAGAATCATGGGCGGCGGCGGTGGACCAACAAGCAGGTGGCTAAACAACAAGGGGTGTCGGTTGTGCCGCGAGGCGGCCGCGAAAGTGATCCACAAAACGACGTGGTGGTGCAACAAGTGGCCGCCTCTGCCACCGGCATAGGTACGCAGTGATCTTCCGTGCGCAGGCGGCAACTAGGGTGTTCCAAAAGGATGGGAAGAAAGACTCTGTTTTGCAGCGAGGATTGTAGACTTCGCCACTAAATTATTTTGTTCAAAAAGGCAATTGGAATAGGAAACAAATTCACTCTTTACACGCGAGAGTGAATTATTAGTTAGGTTTTGATTTTCTGCATAAGTGTTGTACTACAGTACTCTTCAATATAAGTGTTCTACTATGGCCTCCATAATTCAATATATAAGTGTTCTACTACAAATTAGTTAGGAAACTACTACGTAAATCAATATAAGTGTTCTACTACAGTACTCTTCGCGCTACTAACGCTGAATCAGCGTTTGAAACAGCAACGGGAGCTGTCACGCTATCGAGAATTGATGTCTAATTCCATATTCATCGCATAATAGAGTTCATCCGATCAAGTCTTGCATCACATTTTTTGTGAGGAATTAAATTAAAAGACAAGCAGAAGACAGTACACGTGACCACGTCCCTCTATTAAAAGCCAAGCAGAGGAGCCATTGGTGTTGAAATGTTATTGTAACACCACCGTAACGCATGTGTGCACCAAATAAATAATTCAATTTGCAAACAAAACAAAGATGGCACACTAGTTTAGCTGACATAATGACAACATCCATCATTAAAGAAATTAACATGTCCATAGACAAGCAAGGTCCATTTAAAATGCATGACAGATAGATACATCAAATACAACTTTATTTACTGCTCTGCTAATGATTCCAAAAACAAGGGAACATAAGGAATATAGAATGGTCTGCAGTTGAACTCTTTTTTAACGTTACGTCTAACATACCCAAAGACATGGGCAGGGATGACATGAACTCTTCTACGGTCCATGTCATATGTGATGATTGTTCCATCCTCCCAGCAAAGAAAATCATATTCTATTCTGGGTAAACTGTAATCATTGTGTACTCGACAATCCAATCCACGAAACCAAATCTAATATTAATCCTTCCAAACAGGATCCGCATACTGACCGTATGCTTCAATGTACAATTATTAGTACCATAGTCTTCAAGGATCTAGATTGAAAGTTTAGAATCATTGGGACCAGTAATAGTACATACACACAAGTGACCCTGAGCTTGATGCATGGAGTGTTGAAGACCACTATACCTATCAATTCTCCTCCATGTGTTTTCCTCCATATCTACAACAAGTATCATAGAGTACTCCCCAGAGTATCCCATAATGTGCAGACATCCGTTAAAAAACACACTTAGTTGTCTATAAAATGTCACATCAGTATCCTCGCCCCATTCAGATTCCTTATAGATCCATGCTGCAGTTTAGATGAGTAGATCTCACACCTGCACACAAACCGTCGACATCCACATACTCAATCACATGGAAGTGCGAGGAGGCTGTCGGATCGAACCCCAAGCGAGCCTCACCGACAGAATGGCCAATATCATGGGTGCTAGGCGACAGTATATTAAACTTTTGGGTCATTGGATTACAGACGACATAGCGGTATTCATCAGTCTCAAGGCACCAGCATAGGATGAGACCGTTGCAGCAATCTGAGATAGTTATATGGTTGAAGGGCAAGAATTCGAAGGAGGGGGGCGTACACCAGAGACGTTGGTGAAGTTTCGATTATCGTTCTCACTTTCGTAGAAGTCGTCCACAGTCTGGGGCAGCACCTTACGGTTGTCGGAGATGAGGCGGTTCCAGGAGCGACAGACACATTTATAGGAGAACAAGGAGCGGGCGGGGAGGTGGTGGAGGATCTCCAGAACAAGATCCTCTGTGAGGCTGGCCTGTGTGTTCCTGTTGTTGGGGGCCGCCTCCATTTCGAAGAGCCTGCGATCCTCATTGTGCAGTAGGATGAGAGCTTCCTTAGTAATGAGATCACTAAAGAGGAAAATAATCTGACAAAGATCCATTAGTGAAGTGCGAAAGCATACCCTTGCCTTTGGATCTAGCGGCGGCGCGGCGCGAGGCGTGCAATGGTTCACACAAATTGTGAGAGGAACAATGCGCCAGCTATACGGGAGGTGGCGGCGGCGCAGCGCGAGGCGTGCAATGGAGAGAGGAACAATGCGCTAGCCTTAAAGATGGAGAAGTGGAATGATGATGCAACTGTGTTGTGGGTAGTTGGAAAATGGGAAAATAACTCACGCTGAATTTACTACCGCCGGTAGACCAGAACGCCTATCCAGTCGACTCAGCTTTTCATGCGACGGAGAAAATATCACTGCCGCATCTACTGTTAACCCGTCGGTGGTACAAGTCTCAACTGCCGGTTTCCTTCAGCAGGAGGCCTCGCTATCGGTCCAACCGGCAGTGGAAGTAAAACATAGCCGCTTCTATTGCTACGGCAGTGAAAGTGACGATAGTGATAAGTCAATTTGTAGTAGTGTGTTCCTTCCTAGAGGCATCGTTGGCCACATTGGTGCTCCCCGTTGTGCCGTGTGTGCTCTTAACGTCCATCTTCATAATTGTTGGCCTTAATGTAGCATCGTTTGGGTCGTCTTCGCGAATGCTTTGCCGTCGTCATTCAGTTTTTTGTGGCAGATGCTTTTGCCACTACAAACCTGTCTCAATGGATGCTTGACCATCATTGGTCTATTTACTGGCGGATGCGTTGCTGCCAGCGTTGCTTCGGTCTCCATAGATGCTTTGCCGCCGAGATCACGTCCCTATGGCAGATGCTTTTGCCACCATGGTCTTTTGGATCCCCTCCGGTGAATACTTTGCCACCGAGGTTTAGATGCATGCGTGGCCTACTTTGGGTTAATGCTTTGCCTACGTATATAGATAAACCAAACATTTTATAATTTAAAGCGAAGAAAATATTTTATTCAATAAATCATGTCCTTTGGTCCTGGATTATGAAATATCTATTTGACCTACACCAACATTCTATCAACCCTATGTTTCTTTAGCCAACATAAAAATCCACTAAGTCAAGTTGTTTATTATGATATTCCCAACTTTCAAGTAGGTCACACAATACACTTAATAAAAAAAACTAAACTAAGGAGCCAAATGAACGTTACTAGAAGTTTGGCATCAATTCAAACTGCCACCTAATCTGACTCATGTGAACGTCAAGTCTAACAAACATTAACGAGTCTCTCATGAACACCACGCCAAAGAGCCACTAGGTTATTAAGAGAAACAATATGATACTATATGTAAAAATATTTTTTTTCAAAATTTAAGAAAAAAATATACTCGACCATTTATATGTTTTATGTTTTTTTTTACTTGAGAGTCTCTACAACGAGAATTAGATCATATGATGATCTACAAATTATTTATAATTCTACAGCGCTAGCATACTACTACTAAAAATTCTACTTTCCTCCATTTTAAATTATAAATTATTCTGATTTTTCTAAGTACATAAATTTAACGCGTCTAGATATACATTATGTCTAGATATATATAGAAAAAGTCATATGTATAGAGAAGTCGGAACGATTTATGAAGAGAATATATACGTTTTACAAGAGTATTAATATATATATATATATACAGTTATCTACCTTCTCTTGCTATTATAAATAAATTCTGGATGACCGTAAATTTAAATCTGGCTTCAATTTTTAGTTTCAGATGCGAGGGTATCCTGTACTCAGCATGTGCGCCTAAAATAAAAGACGTCTACCGGCAGCCGCAGGCACCCCTCGCACTCTCCATCGATTCACCAGCAAAAATTTCTCAGCGCCGGCCTCCCGGCAGACCGGCCTCCGTATCACTGCGCAACCGATGGCTTCCTCCCCGTGGCCGCGCACCGCCGGTGCCGCCCCCGTCCCGCCGCCAGAAGAAGCAGCAGCTGCTGCTACCGCCGCCGCCACCCCCGCCCCGACGTCGGAGCAGCACCGGGTTAAGGTTCCCCCACAACCCCTTTTTTTATTCTCTCCCACGCTCGATGGCTCGTTTTCTCTGGCTCTGCAGGTCCAAGCTGAGCTCCTGACTGGTGCTTGCAGGAGGAAGGAAACGCTGCCGCCGCGGCTGTACCGAAGCAGGAGGAGGAGGAGGCCAAGCCCCACTTGCCTCGGGACGATGACTCGTAATTGCGATCCCCCTTGCCATGCGTCGCTTCTCTGTTACTGCAATGCATGCTCTGTCCTTGCATGATTCTCGATAGAAACGCTGCTTCACTTTATTGTTTTATGCGTGCACCCGTAGGACTATATGGGATCCGCGAACACGCTGTTGTATACTTGTATAGCCGACGGAGGTAGATGTCAGATACTAGTGCATGGATGAGATGGGGCTGTTACCCTAATACTGGTAGGCCCGTAACAATGAATAGTATATTAATGTTATTATATACTCATATATGGATATACCAATAACAGGAGTACCTCATCAGTCACCACTTTTGTAGTTTTACCATGTGCACAAGGAGTGGTGGAGCCAGAACCAAATCCCTGTCAGCGCAACAGCACTGATATTCTGGACTTTAATATATTTGTTTGTAAGCAAATTTCAGCAAAAGAGGTGCTACTTTGCAAAAAACCTGTGGGGTCGATGTGGTTCCACTATGGAGCACATGCGAGTGCCTCTTCATCTTTGACGCGGTGTTAGGCATGCGAAGGGAACATGATTAGGCTATATGTTGTTGATAATCATGTAAAAATAGTGGCAAAAAGGAATCAAGTTAGTATATTTTTTTTTTCAGAAAGTGCGTCAAGGTATACCATTTGCACATCATATTTCTCCTAATTTTCTGGTTCCAGCATATTAGTTCTCTCTGGAAGAAGAAAAAGGATGACATCTGTTCTCTACTTAGTGAAAAACACACATAGGTTTCGTCCCTATACATTGATTCTTTCCATCTGTAATGTCACATCTTCTATCTTGTAGAGTTTTGGTCTCTCTATCAACAATGTATCCAAATCCCATGATTGACAAGCTGATCTGGACAATTTTGACTTTGTAGTAAGTTGCACATTGAATTGTTTGACTAATTACCTTTTGGTTCAGAATATCAAACCTTAGGTTATTTTTCTTTACACATTAAATACACTTATATTTTGAAGAACCTGAAGGGCGGGCCTGGTGCAAGCGGTAGAGTCTTACCGCCTGTGACCGGAAGGTCCCGGGTTCGAGTCGCGGTCTCCTCGCATTGCACATGCGAGGGTAAGGCTTGCCACTGACACCCTTCCCCAGACCCCGCACAGAGCGGGAGCTCTCTGCACTGGGTACGCCCCCTTTATATTTTGAAGAACCTATTTGGTCCTTGAATTATATAACTTACATTTGCAATTGGAGGGAGTAAAAATTATAACATCTTAATCCTGTTAGGCCTATGATTGGCAGAGCAGAGGTATTCCTTTGCTTTGGACCTAGATTCTACATGTCGTCACTTTGAGAAGCCATCAAGGTTGACGGTAATTTTTGTGCGTTGTGTTTAACATGTGTAGAGAAGCAGTAATCCAAGAGCATGAACAGAAGATCAATAGATATCAAGCAATCCTTGCAGCCCGTCTGAAGGCCAAGTTTTTCTCTAAAAAGGCTTTTGACAGAGGTACTCATGCACTCTTCAACCTCTTGAACTTTCTAGAGTCACCTAATTTCTAGTGTATGCCATTTTTCTCTTTGTTCTATCGCAGACAATCTGATCATTTTGTCTGGCTGTGGCTGCTCTGCCGTTGAGTGAAAATGTGTTATACTTCTCTCTAATATATTTTGAGTATATTATCAGCGAAAGTTAGGGTGACACTGTTCATATTGTTTTTGACGGAATTCATGACTCAAGCTCTCTTACATATCAGTCAGAATATGTTAGTCTAGGACATAACTCTGTTACAAAATGAGTGCTCCTTAAACCTAATAATCATAGTTCTAATTTAATAGCGGTAATTATGTAAGTCTATGGTCTGTTTGAGCTTACCTGAATTAGAATGTCAGTCAATTTAAGATCATCACAACTCTTTTCAGATGCTAAACTGGAAAATGGGCTTTTCCCTTTTCAGTGTCAGCTCAAGCTAGCCTTAGATCTGTTATTTGGCTGCCTGATAATAAAGAACTAATAACTTGCTGATGCATCTTCCTTTGCTAGTCAGACAGGTATTAACAACTTAAGTGTCTGTTATATCTGATGTGTATGCTTAGAGCCAATTGCCACTTCATATAGAAAAGTTACATCAAACAGGACCATGCAAATTATTTGTTAGTCAGCATTGAGTAGCATGATATATGGCTATCTTTTCTGTATGAACCTTTTGTGTTGATAAGTCATTTGATCAACATCTCTAAGCACTACAAATCTATGTTTATGGCCTTATGGGGGCTACTATTAGAAACTATGAACAATATGCATGTATTTATGTTAACAGTTATCTAATGAGCTGCTATTTTCTTTTCTGAATTCAATTTACTTTGCTGTCTTCCACTAGTGGACTCCTAGAGAAATGGGATTTTCTGAGAAAGGGAAATGACGGTGAAAATGATTTTACTGGATGGACGTCACTAGGATGATTCTGCTAAATTTGCAGATGGTCCTTTTACATGTCAATGCTGGTCCAAATAGTCTAGAAGCCTCTGTAAATAACTGAAAACTGTGTATATTTCAACTGTGATGTATTGTTAAATTTCTCTGTTGTGGTTGGTCACTAAGTAGTGGTATCAGCCAGACAGGGTTCAAATCCTGGCTTGCACCCAAAAAAACTTGCTCTGCCTCCCCACAAAAAATAGCTGGGCACCAGCCTGCTGTAGTGGTGAGGTCCTACCTGGAGTAGTGGCAGGGTTCAGGGTTTTCTTGGCCGGTTTGGCTGGGGTTTCTTCTCAGAGCAAAGCTGTGGGGGCAGTCCGGTTGAGTTTTTTTTTAAATAAAAGTATCTCTGTTTATGAGGATTTATTTATTACAGTTTCCTTAGTTGATGATTCTTCTTCTTGTTTCACATGTGTTTTCTAGTCAACATTCCCTGCATCTTGATGCAAAGTTTCATTTTGATTGATTAGAAGTTTAAAAAGGTACTAGCTCTCTTTTCTTAGACCTTATATAAATTTTCTGCTATTTGTCCTGTTAATAGGGAACATCTTTGAATCAGAAACCATTGTTGGAGGTGAAACAATCTGGTCAAGCAGGTATATTTCCTGTGAGCTATCACTCTATCCCATCTCAGATTTCAGTATAGCAACATCTAAATGTCCTTTTCCCTATAGGTGGCCATGTACAAGATCGTTTGCAAACCCAGAAATTTTTTCCCGCGACAAGAACAGCCATGAGAAGGGAAATTCTCCATCTTCAGCAGCAGATTCCTCTGCCAAGAACAACTCTCCACCCTTGGCTGGTGAAGCCTCACCAAAAAATAATGCTAGTGCTTTGGTCACAGAAAACAATCTAACACCTGGAAAGAGACAGCAATCCAAGAAGAATTGACCTGATGGATTAATGTAGGATAATCAGGTTATGTTCTGTTCCTCTGTAGCCTGAGGCTAGCAACCTGAAGTATACACCTAGCAGGAAAGGCAAATTGACACCAAAAATGTTTGTAACCTGCTCTAGATTCAGTTTGTTGTACCTGTTCTAGAAAGCATCTGTAGTGAGGAATACTGTTGTTTACTTGGTATTTGAATTGATGTATTATAGACTATCCCTATTGAACCATTGATTGGTTGCTCAAATCTGAATCCCAAATTTTCTTTATTACTCTGAATTTCATTATGCGATTTAATTTCTTTTTATGTCGGTGATACACTTGCGGATGAGAATATGAAGCTAACTTTTTTCACATGGCAATTTATAACTCCAGAGAGCATGCTGATAGTCTGCTATTGACACTTCATGGTAATTCTTTCGATTATCATTTTTTTCTCATCTCATTACTGTCCATATTCTTATATCTTTCTTTTAAAGCTCCATGGACAGAACCCAAAGTATTCAAAGGTTCAGAGTTGACAGCATCATAGCAGGTACACACATTCTCATATACAGGTAAATGCATTTAAAAATATATATATACTTGCAAATGGACTTACAATGCTATCGAGAGCTGAATGTTTGGAAATGCTTGTGTAGTAATTTATGGGAGGGTAAAATGTTCTTATCTACGGAATCATATTACTGAACTGTAAGCTGTTTCTATCTGAATGTTGGCTGTCTATAGTACTTTACGGTTCTTGTCCCGTTGTATGGAAAGTTGCATCACCAAGCCTACAGAGGTTTTTTATTGTTGTCAGCGGCCTGCCTGCCTGTGCAAGTATGTATCAACTATCAATAGTCTTGCTTTCTGAATACTCTGCTTGGCCCTTGTGATGCGACTATGTGAGCAACTCCAAGTGGTCTATGCTTTTTGTATTTTATATTTACATGCTCACAAGAAGCTTTAGACAGCACTGATTGATGGCTCAATTGCCAGTAGCAAATTCAGATACGTCCTTGTGTCAGAATCTCTTTGGTTTGCAATTCTATCAAGATTAATTTGACATCCACATTACTGTAAAGATAACAAACCTGGTACATTATTGCCTGGTTACTACATTATATTATTTCCAAGTGAAGTCAAAATTAGATGCAACACTTCTGAAATTGTGCTTGAACTAGTGCACATGTATCTGACTCTTGCGTAGGGATGGCAGTTGAACCCACGTGTGTGGGTGCATGCGGGCACCACACACGCCAGGGTGTGGCCGCGGCCCGCGGGTGCCAAATTGCACCCGCTGGTCTCATCGGGTTGGGCCCTGAAATGTACGAGGGTCGAGTGCGGGTGCTAAATCCCACCCGAAGGGTGCCTATCGGGGCCCGAAATATAAGGAACATCTCATGTAACTAAGTATCCATGTCCAGTTGTTAAAAACATGTTCGACACCTAAGTATTAATTTTTTAGTCCATTTCAAAAACTTGTATAATTACATGGCACGGATATGGTAGTTGACTTGATGTGTGATATATAGATGACAGACTTCTCTTGTTTTCAACTTTCTATAATTATTAATACAATCATGATGATCTATTACTTGTGAGATTAACATAACCGACGGGTGCCCAAAATCTGCGGGCGCAGGTGCGGGTGCAAAATTGCACCCGCAGGGTGTGTTGAGGGCGGGTGTGATAGTACTTTGCAAGTGTTGTCGCAGGTGGATATTTACTCTACCCGCACCACACTCGAACTGTTGACATCTTGTGAGGTTCCCTATGTTCAAACTTGGCATTGCAAGAGCATGCGTAAGCAACTTAGAATGGTTTATGCCTTTACTTGAGATGTTTGTATTACCTGCAGTTTCAGTGAATTTGATATGTTTGCCCGCACATGTTCTTGATTATTTTAATCTACTATGTTACTAGCCATTTCTTTCATGATTAAGTCTCTTCTGTTACTGTCCTTTCGCAGGGAAAGTATCCTATTGGAATTGGAACAACTAAAGAGCATACATTTACATGTTCAATAATTTTGCTTTCTTTCAGACAGCATCTTCTTGTTTATGTATCAAATTTCTGTTGGAAGTTAAATCAAGGATGCAATGCAAGTTCACAAATTTGTTTGTTTTTTTATTCAAGAGAATTAAATTTAATAAGCATCTGAATGAATGATTGTGTTGCTTTTTTCTGTGATTGAATCAAACCAATCTCTATTTTTTTCATTTGATGGAAATACATCTTCTCAAATACTCCCTCCGTTCCAAATTATAAGGCGTTTTGTATATCTAAGTGCATAGTAAAAAAATGCACATAAGAAGCCAAAACGTCTTATAATTTAGAATGGAGGGACTAATACTGAAGAACCGCTGAAGCGAGCAAGTTTGCAGCAGCCTCCAACCCCATCCACTGATCCACCACATCATTTTCAGTGGAAAGCATCAATTGAAACCAATCATAAGGCTTCTTATTCCTTATTGGTTTATGGGCAGTTCCTTGTTTTTTCATCTATGTGCTGTTGGTACTTTGGATAGCAGCTTGTTAATTAGTACACCTGATCAAAATTTGTCTTGGCCACCTTTACAAAAAGATGTCAATAATAGGTAGTTAGAATATACCTGTAGACATATAGGAGGCAAATAAATCCACCTCAAAACATATTTTATTTGGTATACTATAGTAACAAGCATCATAGCTAAAATGTGAAGATAAGAATGAATTTATTCAGTAGCGGTGTCATGTTGCGGCTCTGAGGAGCTTGGCGTGGCGGTGTTCTGCGCCTGGGTGAGGCGCTCGAGCTTGGTACTGAGATCGGTCTTCTCTTTCTCGAGCCGGGCGTTCTCGCAGCTCATGTCACTGCAGCCCCTCATTGCACGGTTCAGCTCGTCGAGGAGGCGGCGGTTGGCGCCGCGGAGGTGGACGACCTGCGCCCACAGCTCAGTGAGCTGCCGCTGCTTGCGCATGCGTGACCTCCTGGCGGACTCCCGGTTGGAGACCATCCTCCGCCGCCTCCGCTCAGCCTCCGCCATTGCCGTGCGGCCGCCGCCGTAGGCGTCATCGGTACTGCCGGAGCCGGCTGGACTGTTGCCGGCAGATGCGACGACAGCCGCCGGTGCTTCGTGGATAGGTTGTTCAAAGGCAGAAGGCGAGAGGTGGTGGAATAATGGAGTAGGTGGCATGGCGATCATGTTGCTGTGGTAGTGAGCGTTGAATGCCTGGTCCGGATTTGAGAGGCAGTGAAGGCTAGCCACTCCTCCATGGAAATGGTGCTGCTGCTGGTGCAGCATATTGCTTCTTCACTCGTTTATTTGCTCAGTGGAGACTGCTGGAGACCTTCGAGGGTGAGATCGAGCTGGGATCTCGATGTGGCTGGCTTCTTGGTGGATTTTTGCTCTGGGTGAGCGGAGGGGGTACTTGGTTGGTGAGGGCCTTTTATAGCGTACCAAAGGTAGTTTCGTTTGCCCCCTAGCCTTGCCCAACTAGAGAGAGAAGCCACCTTCTCTCACCTCCTCCCTTTTTTTATTATTTTGGTAGAATTTGGTCACTTTAGTTTTGTCGATTTGGTACATGGCCTCATGAAGGGCGACCTTTCGCCTTTCATGCTCAACAATATCCAAACAACATTCCACTTAACCTTCTACCCCCTCTAGCTCTGCCCTAGTACTGCTTTTCAAGAGAACATTGGCCTTTTCTTTTACCGTCTTGCATGCATCCATAACTTGACTTGCGTGAGTAGTCTTGTCTAATGGTAAAATTTATTCTAGATAGCGTTCATGCATGCCAAATTCTCACTTTCACTTGTAATGTATTCTCCATTCCCCAAGATGCCTGGACTTTGGCCTTTGGCCTCTGTCATCAACAAATTACTTTACTGATAGAAATTCTTTACCTAGGCTGTGTTTAGTTGGGTGAAATTTGGGAATTTGACTATTGTAGCACTTTCGTTTTTATTTAGCAATTAGTGTTCAATCATGGACTAAATAGGCTTAAAACGTTCGTCTCGCGATTTCCAACCAAACTGTGCAATTAGTTTTTTTTCGTCTACATTTAATGCTCCATGCACGTATCGCAAGATTCGATGTGATGGATACTGTAGCACTTTTTTGAAATTTGGTTGGGAACTAGACACGCACCTAGTTGTAAGAGTTAGTTGCATGAACCTGCTGGGTGTATGGATAGATGTATAGCTTTACCTACTGAGAGCCACTGTAGGAATAAACAGGTTGAGATTCTTAGGCCACTAGCTAGATTATGAAGCAGATCGGCTATGCGTATCGTTTATAGTTTTTATCACATCTGCTTGTACGTATGCACCGTGCAAGTCCGACACCCATGAGTTTGATCACAGAGCTGCAAGTGCTTGTGATGAGCCTTTTTGCAGCTAATAATTGCAAGTGCTTGTGATGAGCTTTATATCACTACCACAGGGGTTCGACAGCTAAGAGGATGGATGGATGGGTGTACCTCGTTCCTTTTTGCAGTACTGTAGCGCTTTACTGTGTATAATAATTGTAGTTCCTTTTTTTTTAGCAATTTGGATGCTGGTATTGTAGTAACTAATCTAAGATATCATATTATGGCTTTTCAAGATAATTGAACACTGCTAGATGCACATGTAATAGCTGAGGATATGAGCCTTATGTCAGTTTTTGGTGGTGTGGTAACGGGTAACCACGTAGGGTTGATCCCTTTTTCTTGGCTTGGCTTGTGACCTTTCTTTCAGCTTTCTGACTAAGACATTGTTCATCCTCCATAAGTGGTACAATTTGCAAAAGCAATTGCAAATTGACAATTCCAACCATAAATAAATAGGTGAACCATGTAGCCAAAGCAGAGTATGAGGTGCGGCAAACATTTCTTTTTTTTTTTGTAAAAGAAAATAGAAGCAAGCCCCCCCCCAAATCTTCATCTCTGACAGCAATATAGGATCAACTGAAACTGTAGGGGAAACCTTTATCAACAATAAAGATGATACCTAGGCAAGAAGATTATAGAATAAAGAAATATAACAAAATCATATGTT